TGTAAACCTGATACAAGTGGAATAGGGACATTTTAATGTTCTTAACCGTTCTCGAACCCTGTCTTCGTGAGCGGGGTTCACTTAGCTTATAAGGCACTACCAACGGCTTTCAATTGCTCTTGTGAATAAAAGACACGTAAAAGAACTAAGTTACTAAGCAAACACAACGTAAGTTAGGGTCCTAACTAAGACGATCATGCCATAAATATTACAAATGGCCAATTATTAAACCTTTAGAAAGATCAAAACATACTTATTTATCCTGATCACATATATAGTAATCATTTTATACCAAAAGAGGAAATAGTATCATAATAATATATAATAAGAAAGAAAAGGCTCATCAAACGCTCACCATCCCCCCTGGTGAGCGTTACACTATGTTTTAAGTTATGTCTATGAAGATTTCATAAGTGCCCAGATATCTTTAATAATTTTTTTTTAATTCGCTTAGATAAGACAAAATTCCGAATGAAATCACGCTGTTTTGTTTGCATTATGTGGTTTTCGCCATATATGACTATAACACTTTTAGCTGACATATTGATCAGGCTATAAAATATTGATTTGCTTGAGAGAGCAGGATTTGGTGGCAACTTCGAGTTTGGTCTGCATCAGCTTTCTGGCTTTTTGGGCACATGCGCAACCAGTGTGCGCCCAAAAAAATATTTTTGAAATCCACATTGTTAACTAAGTACTCAATGGTCTCTTTTAAAAGTTTCTGATGCTAAATTTTATATTTTAACAATTAAAATCAAAACAATTTTTTATTTAAAAAAAATCAATATGGAGCGACGACCTGATAAAAGATGCAAGGAGTAGAAGTCCCTGAATAAAGGTCAACAGTAGCAGCAGACTTGTGATGGGCTGAGCTGAACTTCAAATAAATAAGCTGACTGTGTATGTGTATGTACGTTTATAAAATATGTATTAATTATTACAATATTAACCTGAATGATGTTTCAGGTGATTTATATTCCACATTATTTACTCAAGCTCTGCGACTACAGCAAAACATATAAATAAGTTACCTGCTTTAATATTATTTCCTGTAATTCCTAAAATTTAAAATTCTTTTGTTAAATGTCATTACCAACAAAGATTATTGTTGTTGTTAAGAAACAGTTGACGGTGTTGTGGCGGACTAATAATTCACTAACCTTAATCACGTGGGTATCACACCAGGAAATTGGCAGTAGGTAATAAGAAAAGAAAATATATAAACTGCGGTTTCTTACCCGCCTGCAAAACGTGATATTTATGACAAATATTCCACTTGTGACGAAATATGTGAGTGATATGTAGGGAGGTCTATGTACAGGTGGAGTGGTAGGCTATAATGAAAGAATGAATGAATGAAGAAAGTGATCGATTTGAGAATTTAAATCCGCTTCGTTTTAAATTTGCCGTCCATAAACGAACTAAGTGTGGAAAGGAGAGTCCGCTCCAAAAGAAATGAATGTTCGACGTGCTTGACAAACATTCACTATTGTGCTAGAGTATTCTAAGTGACAGCTGCTCATGACCATCGTCACACTTGCCACGTGCATAAGAATTTTTGTATAGAAGATGGAGCAAATGAGTGTGCAGCCTAGCTTAGTGAAGTATCGATCGCCACCCATGAACGGAATTGAAAGTAGGTTGCAGGCCTTTCAAAAAGGCCTAAGATCGTTTCTTGAAGAATTAATTCATTACCTTTAATTTATTATATTTATTGAATTTTGAATTGAAAGTTTTGAATTAATTTATTATATTTATTGTCGACGATGGACTTTTGAAAATTATTTAAGAGCGTTTTAAAAATAAAAATAACAACAAGGTAGGAGTTGCATCTCTTCCTTAAGCGTGAATCCACATTATCTATATTACCAACACTCTCATTAAATCTGGTGCCTAAGAAAAGGCAATGGGGATCACCTGACTTATCTGGTTGGTATCACTGATTGGTAAATAGGTTTGTGTGCTGATTTCGTAAGAGTATCCGGCACCTGGTTTCCTCCGATGGGTATTATAAGGGCGACTACAGGAAATACCAGAAATATTTCGTGGTTTCCAGCGGATGGCAGTACAACCATTTATTTTTGTCATACGTACATTGTCCAAACCGGAGGTGGGAAGAGTGTCAAAGGTGCAATTCGCAAATACTGGGATCAATACATATTTGAGTAAAAAAAAAACTTACAGTCCATCTAATGATAAGTGGCTGCTGCCGACATCTACAACCTAATTCAAATATAGCTAAAGACGCGTTGTCACCTCTAAGGACCATCTTGGAACGCCCTAAATCCTGTAATCATGGGTATGTTCCGAAACAGAACTCAGTATACTGGCCACTGCAAATGACGTAATAAATAGACGCCATACTGATTATTCGTAATATCCAATATGGCGTCAATTAAAAACGTTATTTGTATTCGCTAATATACTGGGAACACTTCGGAACATACCCTATATTGACTATCTACAACCTTTAGTCCTGCTGGTAACCATTACGGTCTAGCGTTGAAGAAGAAAAAGACTAATAATTAATTAATTAAGTTAGGTATAATAACTCTTTTATTTTAATTAAGTTCTTTGTTAATTCCTTATTACCAATTCCAGTTTCAATGTGCAATAAATAGTGGATGGAATATGTTTTCTCTTCGTCTTTCAAAAGGTTCGATAACGCTATTTATATCGACGATTGCATTTTGTAGGTTTCCCGCAACAACCTTACAGTATCAAAGTAGACCAATGGATACTACTTACAAGTATACTGGTCTATTGTAGAATGCTCATGAATATGACTAAAGAAAATGTACTTTTTTAAAAGCATTTTAAGACATAAATACGTGTTTATATTCAATATGTATCACTGAGAATAGATCCTAAAATGTGCTATGATAATTGAAGTGAGCATAAGTAAATTTTAGAGGTCTCTCAATTTTAATCCACTTCACAAGGAAGAACTAGTAAGAAACAGCTTTTATTTTCAATAAAATTTTACAATAATATTACAACAATAATTTAAATGACGTTTTCGTGGATCGTAAACTGCTATATTATAAGTACGTGCTGGAATCGGAGGAGCTCTACTGGAACCGCGTCATCATCACTGATAAGTTGATGGACCTGGCATGATCAAGGACATTTTGTTTGACATTACTTGTACCATTCCGTTTGACGAGAACTTCGTGGAAGCCGAAACAGATAAGCAAACAAAATATCGGGAACTAGATCACGAAGTGACCGATATGTGTTGTAGTCTGCCGACTAAAATTACTCTTGTCGTCCTTCCTAAAAATACCAGAAAAAGATCAATATCGATTTTAAGAATATGTGCTTTCTATTCTATAAAAAAAAAAACAAATAGCGCAGAAAACTGCGCACCAAAAATAATTACGGATGTCGTTTGTGCAGTAATTAATAGTAAGCCGGATGCATCGCGTGTAGGTGAGGTTGTACCTTTAAAATAGTGGTATTTTGTTTTATCATACATATATTTTAGATGGTATACGAAATAAACAAGTATTTTTTTACTATTAAAGTCTAATATTTGACTACTATCCCACCTCAGGATAAGTGGATTATGCAGCCAATGATGGTAAAGCGCAATTACTTAGTTTAGTCTATTCCGTATTCACCCTTGTCTTGAAGATATAAACATTATAATCGGATAGAGAGGCAGATGCCTGCAAATTATTCCACTTCTTTGCTGTACGCATTATTGTATATATAAATTGAATGAACAAGCAAACTGTTTAGTTTGATTGCATGCTATGTCGACAACAATAAAGAATGAATGTAATGTTGGAATGAATTGAGAATAATTCAGTCATGAAATTCCTGTACACACTCTCCAAAACGTATCCTGTAAAAAATCGAAAAGCTGGTTACTTGCGCTAGTGCTCGAGGCTCTTACACTAGCTGGTTTTGTGACTTTGCGTGAATTCATTGCACATATAGTACAATACCAATAGTGACCTGTTAACTTTGTTCCTATAAAGAAAAATATACATTTTTAATGTAAGGTTCGTGTTAAAAATCAAATATTAAAATATAAATGCCGATTTTGTAAGCTGAAATTTTGAAAGTAGCATACATACAAATACTACAATATTATCTATATGTGCTATTGGATTAATAAAAAAGATAAAACTTATTTTATAGAAACATTTACTACTTTGATTCTATTTTTTCTCCGATGATAATAAAATTCTTCAAATTTTTCCTAGGCTTTATGATTTTTGTGCTTGAGCTTTATAATTTCATTAAATTGCACCTATAAGAATTAATTAAACAGGTTGAAGAACGTAAAGGTATGATGTTTGTCAGTTAAACTAACTTTAATTTTATCACATTAGCAAATTACTGAGAATTGAAGAGAATTATACAAAACTATTTTAGATTTGATTGCATACATACATACATGGACTATAGTAGCAGACAACAGACAACTCGCAACCTTTGCAGCTATCAATCGCCGGTCTCAGTTTTTTGCGTTTGGTGTAAACAAAATGATAATACCGTCATCTATCGGAAGTCATAATGTCTTCCTGGCATTTCCTATAGTCGCCTTTTAAGACAACCATAAAACGAAAAATCTTTTTAAATTAATTGCTGATGTAAGAAAATCCACTACCGTATACCATCCCGTGGGTGTAGTAAGACGTGGATTTCCGTGAAAAAAAAAAACTAGAAAATAATAAAATAACTGGAATTATTGGAAACGAGGCATTCTATTTTATTATTTTTATGCCTCTGGGGTGACAACGCATCTGCATTTTGATTCTTAATTGAAGATAAATGTAGATGTTTATGGCCCACATCATCCACTTACCATCAGGTGGATTGTGTGCTCGTTTGTCACCCTTATTCGATAAAAAAAAACAATAAGGCAATTTATGGGGCAGCTTATATTCAGCAGTGGACTTTTGATAGGCTGTAAACAATGAATAAATGAATTATACGGTATAAAAATTTAAAAAATTAGGTGCGCGGCGCTGCGGACATGCGGGTACATGCTGGAGCGCCTCGCCGCGCAGGCGTTGGGCCCCATCGAACTGCGGTACGTACGCAACCAGCAGGTAATGTGCGGCGCGGCGCTAAGAGCCGAGGGGCACGTGCTGCACGCGCGCCATGTACATGCTGGAGCGCCTCGCCGCGCCGGCGTTGGGCCCCATCGAACTGCGGTACGTACGCAACCAGCAGGTGATGTGCGGCGCTGTGCTGCGGGCCGAGCGGCATGCGCTGCATGCGCGCGCCATTTACATGCTGGAACGCCTCACCGAGCACGCGCTGCGCCCTATCGAGCTGCGGTATGTACGCAACCAGCAGGTGATATGCGGCGCGGTGCTGCGGGCCAAGCGGCACGCGCCGTACGCGCACGCCATGTATATGCTGGAGCTGAAATATAACGCAAAAAACCGGCCAAGAACGTGTCGGGCCACGCTCAGTGTAGGGTTCAAAAGTTAGAGGGGGACACATTGTTTTTTACTTTTGGAGCGATTATTTCCGAAATTATTGACATTATCAAAAAATGAATTTAGTAAACCCCTATTCATTTTTAAATACCTTTCCAACAATATATCACACATTAGGGTTGAAATTAAAAAAAAATCACTTCCCACTTTACATATAGGGGGGCTACCCTAATAAAACATTTTTTCTAATTTTTATTTTACCACTTTGTCGGCGTGATTGATACACATATTGGTACCAAATTTCAGCTTTCTAGTGCTAACGGTCACAGAGATTAAGCGAGGACGGACAGACGGACAGACAGACGTGGCGAAACTATAAGGGTTCCTAGTTGACTACGGAACCCTAAAAAAGGTGTAACTTGGTAGGTGCACTCTACAAACTTCAACAAATTGTTTACAGATTATGATAAAATTTTAGTTACTTTATACATAACAAAAAAATGCCGTATCGATTTTTTATATATGAGGGGGCAAACGAGCATGCAGCTCACCTTATAGTGAGTAACTATCGCCGACCATAAAGAATTGCACCAACACCAAGGGCATTGCAAGTGAGTTGCTGGCGCGACGAGTGGCTTATTAGTTTTGAGTTGCGGCTTTGAAGATCGCAGGTTAAATTATGTATGAAATAGGTATGTAATACATATAATTATTCCTGGTGTGGATGTTTGCCCTTACGCAATTAACGTTTGTAAACTACCTCCACAATAGGTACAGGAGAAAGTCCTAGTGAAAGGTAGCATATTTCCAAAACTAAAAAATTTAAATATAATAATAATAATATAATAATAATAATAATAGGGATGTAGACAGGGCCACATGGGATGTAAAGAACAGCTGATAATTGATTCCACTATTCATAAACACGCCATCTCTAAAAATAGAAATTTACATTGCACCTATATTGATTATAAAAAAAGCGTTTGACAGTGTTCCTCATTCATGGTTATTAAAAATATTAGAAATTTATAGAATAAATCCGAAAATAATCGATTTCTTACGCCGAATAATGTTACAATGGAAAACAACACTACAAATAAATTGTAACCAAAATACTGTCACCACGCGACAAATCTCAATCACAAAAGGCATCTACCAAGGTGACTCCCTGAGCCCACTGTGGTTCTGTCTCGCCCTAAACCCTCTGTCTCATTTGCTGCAGAGCTGCGGGGCCGGATATTGCCTCAAACTTAATACAGACGAAACAACAATATCGCATCTTATATACATGGACGACATCAAATTATATGCAAAAACAGACAAGGATATGAAGAAATTAATAGATATAACAACAGAATTCAGTAGCGATATTAATATGCATTTTGGTTCAGATAAATGTATAAAACACTTCACATTGTAAGAGGCAAAGTAAGGCCCGGCGACTATGTGGTAAATGAAACGGAGGCTATTACAGCAATGGAATCGACTGACTTATACAAATATTTAGGGTATGTCCAACTTAAAAGTCTTGACCACGTACGAATTAAAAATTCTCTCACTACGGAATACAAGAGAAGACTTAACGCCGTTTGTAAAACTCAACTTTCAAGTAAACATCTCATCAAAGCCATTAACACCTATGCCATCCCCATATTAACGTACTCATTCGGAGTTATAAAATGGTCCAAAACTGATGCAGAACAATTAGAGCGAACTACACGTACAACACTCACGAAACACAATAATCTACACCCTAAATCCGCCATAGAGAGACTAACAATAAAACGAGAACATGGAGGGAGAGACCTAATGGATATCCAGCACCTATGGCGGAAACAAGTTAGTCGATTAAAATCATTCTTCTATACAAAATCCCATACTAGCAATATTCATAAAGCATCGTAACGAATGATATTAACTACACTCCACTTAACTTAAGCAATCAGATTGAATCCCAAAACACTACTAGTGATAACCCACAGACACACAAAATTGACGAATGGAAGAAGAAAGTTCTCCACGGTCGGCACCCTCATGACTTAGAGCAATCCCACATAAATAAGTTAGCTTCAAATAAGTGGCTGAAAATAGGCAACCTATTTCCAGAAACAGAAGGATTTATAATAGCTATTCAAGACCAGATCATAAACACAAAAAATTACAGAAAATATATAATCAAAGATCCTACAGTAAATAATGACAAATGTCGCAAATGCCACACACATCCAGAAACCATTCAACACATCACAGGCGCATGCACAACTCTCACACAGACTGACTACACTCACAGACACAATCAGGTGGCCAATGTCATTCATCAAAAACTAGCACTCAAACACGCACTCATTCCAGATGCCAACACTCCGTACTACAATTATACACCAAAACATACTCTAGAAAACACCACACATAAACTTTTTTACGACCGCGGCATTCTCACCGATAGAACAATCCACTATAACCGACCAGATATAATTCTACAAGATAAAATAAATAATATTACTTACCTGATAGACATTGCAGTCCCCAACACACACAACTTGCAGAAGACGATAACTGAAAAAAATTGTAAGTACGCAGAACTTAAAGATGAAGTGACTAGAATCTGGCAACAAGAAAAAGTATATGTGGTCCCTATAGTCCTCTCCACAACAGGTGTCATCCCAAATCATCTCCTCCGTAGCTTAAAATTATTACAACTAAAAGAAACTCTATATATTACACTTCAAAAAGCAGCTATATTAAATACATGCAGAATAGTTAGGAAATTCATGCAGATAGAAGAAAACGAAATAGGACCTCATCAAATCACATGAACTACACTACACACCACACGCTGCATTTGCTTTGGCTTCGGCCCGTAAATGTAGTTGAAATCCAGCCTAGAGCTGAGAAGTGAAAACACTTACCGTAAATAATAATAATAATAATTTCTTTAATCAGGAATTTTTTACAACATAAATTTGCTTCTGCATAATACACGTTAAGCGCGATGCTCTGCTCCATTACGTGTTGGGGGACTCGATCAATTCGTTATAATCAATCAACCGGGCATTCTGCATTATTATTAACAGTAATAAACTGCAGATATCAAGTGCGAAGATATCCGCATGGCAGTCCCTTCAATTATATACGGAATTGAGTTCGGAAACAGCTACGATACTATCACGGACTGTTGAGTCGAACTAACAATGTATCTACGTAAATTGTATTTGGTAAATCAAGTAATTCTCTATCATGAAGCCGCAATACTAAATATGTCTACCAAACTATTTACCCGACGGTTGTTTTGGCTCGTTGCCAGATCGACGTCTCTGCACGGTCGCTTTATTGCGGACATCTATCTCTTGTCGACTGTCGGAACGATCATTGTGCTGTTATGGAATACGAGCTAGATATAAAAGGAAAATCCGGTTAACACCCTTGAAAATCGTAAGCAATGTAATGTGGCTTAGGGAGCAATAAAAATCTTGTAATATCAATATTTTTCGTCAAGCTATCTGTCATTTCTTGTCTACATTTCCATCGAGGCCGCTCAGCCGGTGACCTTCTATCTTTCCTGACTAATAGATTGTCGAAGGCAGTACAGTATAAAGAGGAGACCTCGGCGGTTAATATGGACATAACGGAGTCTCTCAATCGGGAATGAAACAAAAAGCTTCTTTTGAGCGTGAGATTTTATGTAGTTTAATTGATAGAATCAGGCGTTACTTTGCGGAAATCCATTACAATAAAGCCATTAATTAATTCGCAACTATCCGACGCGCCACTACTCCTGGCACCACTACTCCCAATTAATTAAATTATTGTCGTCAATGGTGTGTCTTTCCTGGAATAGTGGTGTTGGGAGTAGTGGTGCTGGGATTAGTGGTGACGGGATTAGTGCACGCAATTGAGGGAGGGCGTTAGGTGCTCTTTAATTCAGGTAAGACACACCATTGTATTTTTATGCGGATAGTTGCGAATTAATTAATGTTTTTATTTATGTAATTTTATGTTAAAGGGTCATAGCAGCAGAGAGAGATAGAAGTGACGGAGGGAGATAAAGAGAGAGAGAGAGAGAATAAAAAATCCACTAACCCACATCAACGTCCTGCGGTTCTCTCAAGAGGTGACAGAGGGATATGAAACAGAAGATGGGCTGCAACGTCTTCCTGAATAGAAAAACTTTTGTTGCTAATAGATACAATAACAAATATTTTTTATTTTTTATATAAAATGAAAAACATACAAACTAATTAGGGTTATTTCGGTGTAAATATATTATCATTAATTTACTTATGATATTAAATTGATACTACTTGTAATATTAAAATGGTTTAAATATTATACTTTAAGTTTATAAGCTCATTATAAGGGAACTATGTTCTTTTATGAGTTAATAAACTTCTGTACTGTACTGTAATTAATTTATGACAAATTTTGTAACCATATTCCAATAAAATTTTTACAGTTTTCCATTTTTAATGGATACATGTATTTATTTATTTATTTATTTATTCTTTTTTGTACACCACAATACAGAAACATCAATATAGTTAAAACTAATTAAAGTATGTACAATAGGCGGTCTTATCACTGAAAGTGATTTCTTCCAGACAACCTTTGCGTAGAGGAATGTTGCAAACAAACGTTACAAATAGAGGGGGGGCATACAAAATAATAATAATAATAATAAAAATACAATAATACATACAAGTAAAAATAAGTGAAAGTTATATATAAAATATCATATAGTAGATTAAATGAAAAGAGTACGAGAAAGGTAAAGTAATTTATCTAATAGCGTTCTAAATAATACGATTTAACAAGAATTTTGAAAGAGTGAAGACATTTAGCACGACGAATATGGAGAGGTAAGGAGTTCCACAACCGCACAGCGGTTACGGTGAAGGATTTCTTGAAAAAGGAAGAAGAGTGCAAAGTTATGATTGATTTATGAAGGTAGATTAACGGAGGATCGAAGGAACCGATTATAGGTAAGTGAAAGATAC